CCGTCCTGCTTAGGTTTATTTTCTAACCTAGGGTGTTTATATGAGATGAGTAGGTTGTTGGAGACTTAACACTTGCCTAGTGTTGTGAAATTGATGAAATGAGTATTAGAAATGGGAACGAAAATGGGTATAGAAATGGTCTAAAATGAATTTCTAACTTGAATTGATATGTAGAAGTTACTTGTGTAATTTCATGGATTTGATATTATGTGAACATGTTATGTGTTTATATTGTGCCTTGTGAATGAAGTGTGTTATTGGCATATATGATATAATAACATGCTTATAATTGGTTGTTGGAAGTAGAATAGTGATATATGTTTATCGATATATTAACATTGCGATGAAGTTTGGTGATTATATGCATATGATATAATTGGCTATGTAATATGTAGATATGTGGTGAAATTAGCTCATATGACGCTCATTACATGTGAGGAATGACATTGATATTGCAATGGTGCATTATATTGCATTTGCACGGAGGCATCACATTCATTAGGCATGAGTGTTGTGTGTGTGCATGGGTTGATTGAACACTGTACTGGGTGGTTGATGGGTGGGTTCAGGAAAGTTGGATTGAACATCCAACTGAGTCTCACAGTTGCATGAAAATTGGGTCGAGGTTAGCAAGAAGGGCTAGACTATCCTTCGGGTGAGAAACTCGGTGATTGGATACATACTCCGTTGGTATAAGAGCCTATAAAGTGTGTCGGTGTACGCAGAACTGTTGGTGGAAGTTCATAAATTCCGTGTCGGTTGGGTGCCGTTGGTGTAAGTCCATAAATATTCACCTCAAGAAAGACCTAGAGATTTTTAAATAGTCATTGGATAGGTAACAACAATGACCGGGGCTAGGAAAGTCCGATTTTATACTCATGACATTGTATGAGTGAGAGGAGCCAGGGAGGGCTTGGGTTGAGTTGCATGAGTGGGTGTCATCTTATATCATGGCATCCCATATTAGGTTCCAACATAGAATTGTCTATTCTTGTTTGGTATGGTTGTTGCTTGTTAAATGTTGCATGTGGCATTTCATATGCATCTAAGTTGGGGAGTAATCTCTGTAGAAGGTACTCTATTGAGAGTGGCTCACCCTATACGGGAAAACATTTCAGGTGCGAGATATACGCCAGTGGGAGGTNTAAGTTGGGGAGTAACCTCTGTAGAAGGTACTCTATTGAGAGTGGCTCACCCTATACGGGAAAACATTTCAGGTGCGAGATATACGCCGGTGGGAGGCTCTCACTTGGGGCCTCAAAAATGAAGAAAAATTGACTTGTGGCTTTATTTTTTTAATTTTGTAAAATTATTGTGAAAACTTAATTTTGCTATGTAAATTCATGGAAATGAATGTAATCGAGATTTTATGGGCCTTGTGTTATATGAAAATCTTAATTAAATATATGTTATATGAGTTGGGTGGGTTTTGGAATGAATTGGAAACCAAAAAATAGGTGAAACACGCAAATCCGGGCAAAACGTACCGGTAGAATATTGTTCAACAGGCAAAGCCTACCGGTAGAACCTTAACCTACCTGTAGAATTTTGTCTAGTAGGCACAACCTATCAGTAGAACATTGACCTACCGGTAGAACATCAACCTACTGGTAGAACTTTTTCAGTGGGTAGAACCTACGGGTAGATTTTCTAAAAATCTCAAATTTTAAGAATGTTGTGCCATACTTTTGGACTTTGGGTTCTTTGGTTTAAATGAAATAAATGGACATTAAATAACGATAAAATTTGTATATTGGACCTCGGTTGGGTCAAATGGTAAAATGTACATGGGTTACATGTGTGGGTTATAATCCTAGCTGAGAGGATGCTATTGATGTGATGTCGGGTTGTGCAACAATCACGGGTACTTCCTCTGGTTGAAGGGTGGTCAAAGGGTTGAGAAATGACCCCCAGTTTTAGGGGCGTCACAGGGTGCGTGCATGATTTTGATCAAACACCCTTCTTGGTGGATGATATGTGTGCTCGAAAAACTTAGACTAAGGTTTGATTGAGTCGCATAGGTTGCATTGAAAAAAAGGAACGGGGTTAGCAAAAAGGACTAAACTATCTCTCGGGTGCATGACCCAAAAACTTGAATACGCACTCTATTGGTATTGAGTTCATAAAGTGTGTCAGCGTAAGCGGGGCCGTTGGTGGAAGCCTATAGATGTCGTTTCAATTAGGTGCCCGTTGGTAAAAGTCCATAAATACCCCGAATTTATAAATGGTTATTGAATGTGTAGCATCAATGACGAATGCTTGGAATGTCTGGGTACATACGCATGATATTGCATGTGGTACGGGAGCTAGTGGAGGACTCTGGTTGCATTGCATGTGTGAGTCTCACCTCATAACATAGCATGACATTGCAACATTCATTATTGAATTGTATACTCTTGGATGGATGCTTGTTTGGTTGTTGAGTTGTATGTGAACATTTCATATGCATTTAGGTTGGAGAGTAGCTTCTTTCAAAGATACCCTATTAAGTGTGACTCACTCTTTATGGGAACAACATTTCAAGTGAAGGACAATAACTGATGGATGACCCTCACATGTATCCTTATTGAGAAAAGGCCAGAATATGGCTTTAAATTACAGTTTTGTAAAGCAATTGTGTAATTCATTTTGAATTGTAAATGGTGGCAAGAGAACATGTAATGAACTCGTATGGATTTTGTTTTGTGTATACTTAAATGTTATGTGTGTTTGGATGAACTCGGTATGAGATTGGGTGAGTTGAAATTGAAAAATGAAAGATTTAGGGAAAAACTGAGCCCAAGTACTAGTACCAAGTTGATTAGGTACCGATACCACGATTTCAGTGGACTCAGGTACCGGTACCAAGGATTGAGGTATTGGTACCTCGTTGTCGAGAGCCTAGGTACCGAAACTTGGCTAGCAGAATGCTCAGATATCAGTACCAAGTACTCGAGGTACCAGTACCTCTTCCAAAATTTTCAAAAATTTAAAATAACCTTGTCAAGCCTCCGACCCTTGAACCTTCTTATTTAAAGGATGTAATTGGAGTGATATTGATGGAAAATTGGTGGATATTGGACCTTGGAATGATTGTGTGATGATGTGGCGTCGGGTTATGAGGTATGCAAGGGTACTTTCACTGGATTGATAGGTGATCAACAGGTTGAGAAAGGACCCTCGAATTTTAAAGTGTCACACTTCAGAAACTTACTAGAACGAAAATGAGCAAGAAATTATAAAAACCCAACTTTCTCTCTCTAAAACAACGATTTCTTCTTATTTGGAGAAAGCTTGAATGTCATGTGTGTTCCCTGCATAATTTTTGTGCATAATGTTCTCCTTCCTCTAAAAAGTGTTGAGATTTCTACCTTGGAGAGAGAATGTCCAAGTTTTCTTTCCAAATCAGCAAAAGTATGGCCTCTTTATCCTTTCCAACCACTCCCCCTCTCCTCTAGTTGTCTCTCTCTTCCACCATTCATTCTTGTTTGAAAGCTGCATGTAGTGGTTAGGGGGATCATGGTGGAGTATTAATAATGCCATAATATGACTTAGATTTTCCTAGGAGTACCCTCATGGCTGATAAGAATGTCGAGAGAAACATTCAAGGTAGTTTGGGCTTAGGTATTGGTAAGAAGTGATGAAGGTACCGGTAACTCCCTTCCAGTGAGCTCAGGTACCGGTACTAAATGATGAAGGTACTAGTAACTCCTTCATTCTTCAATTTCAAATAGGTCCCAGGTATCGATACATAGTTTCCAATGGGTTAAGCTACTGGTACTAAGTGATGAATGTATCGGTACCTTCTTCACTCTTCAATTTCAAATAGGCCAAGGTACTGGTACTTAGTTTCTAGTAGGCTCAGGTACCGGTACTTAGGTTCACATGTACCTATACCTCTTTTCTTTCTTTGATTTTTGCATTTCTACACTTCCAAGCCCTTTCCTTTCTTCATCTTTTGTCCAAAATATTGCATAGTGATAAAACCCTATATTTGCCCTCCGATCACGTACAATCACATATTTTTTCCTTAATCTCCGAATTAAACTAAATTTAAATAAATTATTACAAAACCAAACTAAAATGAATGTAATGATTACGCACTCATCAGACTATCAATCAAAGTTTGATAACTTCACAATACATGCAAACCAATGTTGACTATTCTCAATAAATTAATGTAATTGTCAAATTTTGATTGATTGCCGATAAAAATTTAATTTATAAACTTTCTTGTAAATTTTTTTTTCTCTTTTAATGTGTTCGTACTTGAAAACAAAAAATTTATTTTCGAAGATACAAACCTTTTTTTTGATCATTTTCAAAGATACAATTCAAACAGCGCTTTCTTTCTGTTTTGCTTTCTGCCCACTGCCCCAGAAGTTAGATTCCTTCTCCACATAATGCCATTGACTTCAGTCCCTTGAAAAAAATGCAATCTTTTCACTGCTGAAAAGATTCCTGTCCATCAGACAAACGTGCGCTCTTGCATGCGCCAATGGACACAAAAATGTGGAGGAAAACTACGGTGTCGGAATCACGTCGTCCCAAAACTTACTTGCAACTTTTCTGAGATTTAAATTGTTAATCGTGGAAGACACTATCGATCATAAAATATTATAATTAATAATAAATATTACAATTTTAAATGACAAACATTTTTAAAAATTAAGTTGTAACTTGTAAAAACGAAAGTATAACTTATTGACGTAATTTGTGATCAATCATAACATTTTATAGTTGTTCGTGAAAATTCGTTGTTTAACTTTTTTTTTAAAAAATGTGTAATTTGAACTTAAAAATTAATAATTTTGGTATGCTACTATTTTTTCGTTTTTGTGCCTCGTTGTAATCCTAAAAATAGAGCTCTCAGGCCCGTGGGTAGATCACATAATCAAACTCAAATATGTCCACTGTACACTGCAAAGTTGTACAGATAAAATAGCGTCTTAGGCCGTACCCAAATCACACAATGAATAAACAGAGAGAGACCGAGAGAGGGAGAGAGACCTAGAGAGAGGGAGAGAGAGAGAGAGAGAGATAGCATTACAAAGCAAGAAATTATGAAAAGCATCCATGAAACTAGTAGTTTGGAGGCTTAGCGGAGAGAAGCCAATGGATGAAGTTTTGGAGTGTAGTAACATCAGCTCTGTAGTGGTTTTGTGTGAATTCTAACAAATCTGACCATGTGAAATCTGGGTACTTCCTTGGCCCTTCTCTGTCGACAAGATCCTGTGGGGGCCTCACTATCTTGTCTTCTTTCGGGCACACGAAGAATACCAACGATCTCCTCTCTCTCTCCTTGTTCACCACTGCCCTATGCAGGCAACTTTTGTATCTTCCATTGGATAGTGCCTATGTATCAAACAAATACTTAGGTCACATAGCAATGTCACTCCAAACCTAGAAGCGTACAAACATATACATAAATACGTATATAGGCATGTAACGTATAGGCATTGGCTTTTTATGGTCTCATATTCTTATCTAACCAATAAGCTCCTCTCTCTCTACTGCTAGGGTGACATGAGTCTTGGTGGTATTTAATTCATTGGGTGGAGTTACTTGTACTAATATTGTTACCTGATTAATGTTATTGAGACATAATTTTGAGGAATAATTTAAAAACCTAATGATTGTGATTATTGAATTGTCACTAGATTCTATTATTGAATGAAGTTTACTATCGATCCAATAAAAACAATGTATTAAGTCTTTAAATTATGTCTCATCAATAGCATTAGTGTTATTAGAAGCATCAAAAAAGAAAATAAATCACACTGTCCTTCAATGTGAAATGAAATTTCAGAAAGGTATTGAAGGAATTATGGTATGAACATTTATAATTTTTTGAGTCAAGATATAACTATTTGGGATTAAGTTATTATATAAAAAAAGTGAAGATCATTTTTAGAATATTTAATATCAATTCTAAGATGCTTAGAAATCAGGCCATTCTTGTATCTTCCATTAGATAATGCCAAATTATCAAACAAATTGTTGTCACATAACAATCTCAGTCCAACACATGAATATAATTTATACACACACATATGCAGATATCTACATGCTGACATATGACGTTTAGGCATTTGCTCTTTATGGTCTTATATTCTTATCTGACCAATGAATCTCTCCCTAATAGCCAGGTTGACACCAGTCGTGGTAGTTATCATTAGGTTCATGTCCTTGTATTAACTAATATTCATATAAACATCAAAAAGAGGAGATTAATCATTTTATCTAATTATAACTGAAACACAAAAGCAGCCGAATAATATGCCAAAAAGAGATACAACCCACCTTTTTAAGGTGGGCACACTTTGTACGTAGTATCACTACCAGTAGTCTTTTTTGAACATCTTGTTTACATCTTATTCTAAATGACTGAACATATATACGACGGCTCCTTGTCCCTCATTTGTTTTTTCCCTTGAACTGGTCTGCTGAAATTTTGATTTGTTTGATATGATGAAAAAGTGGATGAAGAGAAAATTTTGTTAAAAAATAGGAGGGATGGATAAACATCATCTTTGGTTAGAATAAAAAAAATCTTAAAAAAAAAAGGGGAGGGGGTATGATTTGTCTGCTAACACATGAAATGTCTCCCCAAAAATTGAACCGAAAAATAGAAAGAAAGAAGAGCAATTTTGTGCAAGTCTTGCCGTTTACATTCAAAGTCCTTAATATAAATATTCCTTTGATCCATTATGTGATGATTTAATGGTAAAATATGAATGAGTACTTTTATTCTTTCATCAACTTTTCCATCATTAACAACATAAAAAATTCTCATGCTTTCTATCTCTTTTACCTAATAATGTGACAAAAAAGAATTTTTTTTAAGGAAAATGCTATGCATACCAAAATTTTTACCAAAATTACTTTTATCTAATGAATTGGCAGTTTTAGATCACTCTTGAACTCACCAAATACTAATCAAAATATTTTTAATTGGATATGGAGTTGTCTAACTCATTTCGTAAATTATTTTTTGATAAAAATTTTGGTAAGTATAACATTATTATTATTTTTTACTGATAACAAAAAGTGTATTTCTCTTACTTTATTTTTTTCAATTTTTTCATTTATTCTATGGAACGGATGATTATGGAATAAATAGATTATTGCTAACACTGAAAGTTTTGCGTTGGAAAAATAGTAATTAGAAATNTACGTAGTATCACTACCAGTAGTCTTTTTTGAACATCTTGTTTACATCTTATTCTAAATGACTGAACATATATACGACGGCTCCTTGTCCCTCATTTGTTTTTTCCCTTGAACTGGTCTGCTGAAATTTTGATTTGTTTGATATGATGAAAAAGTGGATGAAGAGAAATTTTGTTAAAAAATAGGAGGGATGGATAAACATCATCTTTGGTTAGAATAAAAAAAATCCAAAAAAAAAAAAAAGGGGAGGGGGTATGATTTTTCTGCTAACACATGAAATGTCTCCCCAAAAATTGAACCGAAAAATAGAAAGAAAGAAGAGCAATTTTGTGCAAGTCTTGCCGTTTACATTCAAAGTCCTTAATATAAATATTCCTTTGATCCATTATGTGATGATTTAATGGTAAAATATGAATGAGTACTTTTATTCTTTCATCAACTTTTCCATCATTAACAACATAAAAAATTCTCATGCTTTCTATCTCTTTTACCTAATAATGTAACAAAAAAGAATTTTTTTTAAGGAAAATGCTATGCATACCAAAATTTTTACCAAAATTACTTTTATCTAATGAATTGGCAGTTTTAGATCACTCTTGAACTCACCAAATACTAATCAAAATATTTTTAATTGGATATGGAGTTGTCAACTCATTTCGTAAATTATTTTTTGATAAAAATTTTGGTAAGTATAACATTATTATTATTTTTTACTGACAACAAAAAATGTATTTCTCTTACTTTATTTTTTTCAATTTTTTCAGTTATTCTAGGGAACGGATGATTATGGAATAGATAGATTATTGCTAACACTGAAAGTTTTGCGTTGGAAAAATAGTAATTAGAAACCAAAAAAATGCGGTAGAAACTGTCATTGCATACCATGAATGTATCGCCAATGTTAATGACAAGGGCATCAGGGCGAGGTAGAACAGCTTGCCATTTATTATCTGCAAAAACTTCGAGTCCCCCAACTTGGTCTTGATGAAGTATTGTTAAGGAGGTGGGATCACAATGAGGACCAGTACCTAGAGTGAGTCCAGGTTCTTTACAAGGTGGATAGTAGTTGCACCTCATTATTGAACTACCATCTTCGAAGAGTTTCCGATAGTGTAAACGTTCAACTCCCAAGCTAATTGCCAGGAGTTCCAATATGATCAGAGACAGTTCCTTCATTGCTTCACAGTACCTTTGATAAATCAACCTGCAACAAATATGCCTTGTCTTATGATTCGTCGAGTTGAGAGAATTGTCTTGAAAATATAAAAGATACCATTCCAATAATCTTTGATGGCCTATTTTCCTTGTATATATACACCATACAAGCAAAATAAATTTAAAGTAGATGCATAAAAATGAAGATATAGTGTGAAGTTAAAATTTGGTGCATTAAAAGAATGTGGTTTTTGAGTGATATTGTTTTTCATGCCTCCTTTGTCGATGCCAAAAACTATCCTTGCTAACGCAAATATTTTTTGCATCCACAAAGTGGTTTTTTGTTGCAGTGAACGAAGGCTTCGAATTTGTGTGATAGTAGAGTTCTTTTCTTTGGGTCCGCACGTATATGGCAAAGGGGTAGACGCCTTCACCACCACCCTACTCCAAAAACAAAATAAATATAAATAACGTCACCACCTTAATTAAAAGGTACCTATATGAATGACAAAGAAAACAAGTGCTAAAAGCATGGTATATTCTCACAGCAGCTTATGCAAAGTGCACATTAAAATTCCTAGTCTCACCCTGTATCTTCAAATTCTTTTCCTAAGACGGATTTGAAATAATCAACCACCAACAGCTCAGGACCATTCCCATGGTTATATCCAAATGAGAGTGTCTCCTTCCAGGGCAATTTTGACGAATATCGATCAGCCTGGGCACCAGAATAACCCAGCACGCTGCCCGGCTTCCTCCGAACACGAAGCTTCTTGCTAATGGGAAGCTTGAAGAAAGCTTCATTATGATCATGGGCGGCACGAATGAGTTCTCCGTCCACACCATGATTCGTAACTTGAAAGAAGCCATGGTTCATGCAGGCTGCCCTAACTTGCCCAGCTGCCCTAATAATTGCTGCCTCATCACTTCTAAAAATCCCTTCTAGGTCTATCAGGGGCTCTTTGAGTTCTTCTTGAGTGTGAACCAAGTCGTCATGTGGCCAAATGAATTCTGTTGGCAAGTTTGCTTGCTTTTGTAGCAAAGATGTGTCAAAAACAATAACCCCTTTTTCGGATTTTCTCTCATCCTTAAGCTCCAATGGATGACAGAGAAGAAGAGTTGGGGCGCTTGAATTCATTGGAGACGTACATTTCAAGAGGAATGAAATCAAAGAGTTATTATAGAATATGTTGTGAAAGATAAAAAAAAAAAAAAAAAAAAATGGACTTCGAGCAAGAAAACAAGAAAGAAAACTTATTCACTGGTCAGAAGATTAGATTCAATCTCTTGGGTTGTGAGAATATTGTTTTAAAAAATTCTACATAATCTAAACGAAACTTAAATATATATTATCTATTGGATGAGTGTAGGATGAGTGGGTCTCATTGAAAAAATTAATGAGACTTACTCATCCAAGAGATGAGATGCATTTGAGTTATATTTTTTTAAATTTTATTTAAANCAATCTCTTGGGTTGTGAGAATATTGTTTTAAAAAATTCTACATAATCTAAACGAAACTTAAATATATATTATCTATTGGATGAGTGTAGGATGAGTGGGTCTCATTAAAAAAATTGATGAGACTCACTCATCCAAGAAATGAGATGCATTTGAGTTATATTTTTTTAAATTTTATTTAAATTTTGTAGCATTACTCTATTTTTAGACCAAGGGTCGTGTGTGTCATGAGCAACTCTATTGAGGGCATGCTCAATGTAGCTTTAAAATATGTGTTGAATATTATCGTAGATCTTTTTTTTTTTTTTCTTCTGGAGAGAATGCCCAATAAAATCTTAAATTGTGTATTGAACATTGTCATATACCTTTTTGTTTTGAAATAAAATTTTGATTTACCAAAATAAAGAAGAAAGAGAACTTAAAGTAATAAGAGGGTTTGGAAGAGTAGATTTGTAAAAGTAAAAATAAAAATATAGAGAGGATAGAGAGAGAAGTGAGAAGAGAAAAGCCAAGGCCGTCCATTGAAGAGGTCAAGAAGAGGTTGGCAGGTTATTACGCAGCCAGCAACGGGGACGAGTGACGCCCTTTCACCCTTAGGTCACTTTCACTATTGGAAACAAATAAAATACCATGCAGCAGTCCGTATCTTTTCTTTCCCCCTTTGGTGTCTATAGATATGTATTCATATACTCTTCCCCATATAATTTTTTCGTAAGTACATTTATATGGGTAAAAATAATTACATTTTAATATGTTACCAAAATTTTAAACAATGTCTATTGAGGTCACGACTAAATGAATTTCTTTGGGATCAATTATAACATTATAAAAACAATCTCTATTTTTTTTGGAGTTAGAACTCACTTTTTTAAGTTTAAATTGGTCCTAAATGAGTTGTAAGAGTAATGTCCTATTGGGAGCCGAAAAATTGACCTAATTTGATGATCTAATACTATAGCAAGTTATAGAGTCTAAATGAAAAAGTCAATCAGTTTTAATCACATCAATACTATTGGACCATGTTATGCCATATCAATAAATCAACAAATTAGTNAGTTAGAACTCACTTTTTTAAGTTTAAATTGGTCCTAAATGAGTTGTAAGAGTAATGCCCTATTGGGAGCCGAAAAATTGATCTAGTTTGATGATCTAATACTACAGCAAGTGATAGAGTCTAAATGAAAAAGTCAATCAGTTTTAATCACATCAATACTATTGGACCATGTCATGCCATATCAATAAATCAACAAATTAGGTTAATTTTTTAGCTCCAAAAAAATTAACCGAAATAAAATTGGACTCTGTCTCCCCTGAAGATGATAAACTTTGAACTCACAACCATGCCACAAAAAGAATCCCACTGTTTAGTTCCTATATCTTGTGCACAAGTTTCACTTTTTTTACTATTTTTTAGTACTCTTGTATTGGTTTTGAGGTCTATGCATCATTAGCAATGCATTGCTAAGTTTCACATTAGCAATGCATCATTTCTTCCCACTCATTTTGCTTATCCTCTTTTGTACTGCTTATGCACAGGACAAATTGTTATTCTCGTAGATCAATTAATTGATTCTCTCTTACAGAATAGACAAAAAATCACAATCTCTCCCTCTTTTTCTTTTGGAATAAAAAGGAGAGAAAAGGCATCCTATTTTGTGCTAGTTGTCACTCATGTAGTCAGTCATATGCAGTTGGAACCTTATTGTCACATGCCGCGCACTCATTGAAAATAAAGACAAACTACCACTTCTTCTGTTTCTCTAGGAAAAACAAAAAAGAAATCCTAAAAAACTGATCTTATCAAATAATGTCAATTGGTAATATTCACTTTTTCTTACAGCTATTTTTAAAAACAGTTCGACCAGATGTTAATTAAGTAATAATAGAAATAATGATATATGTCCGTGTCATGACTTGTCGTTCTTTTTCTAATGTATGTNAGAAATCCTAAAAAACTGATCTTATCAAATAATGTCAATTGGTAATATTCACTTTTTTCTTACAGCTATTTTTAAAAACAGTTCGACCAGATGTTAATTAAGTAATAATAGAAATAATGATATATGTCTGTGTCATGACTTGTCGTTCTTTTTCTAATGTATGCATATATTTTAAATTTTCCAGTTCTTTAATTCCTTAGATTTTGTCCTGTAAGTATATACGTTGCTTCTTCAAATATTATCAACCAACCTACATTCAAGTCTTTGGATGGTTATTAGAAAGTTTAAAGCTTCATTGATCAGTAATGATTTAAGTATCCCAAAGTATATAGATGTAATGGTTGATTTCCCAGTGCAAGAGTTTGCAAGAGGAGTAAAAAATATACAAGTTGAAAGGGCTCAGAACGATTGTGCATGATTAGATCATTTTAATGAATACATGTGGCATAGGTCACATGACGGAAAAAACATGTGTCAATTATCACGTGACGAAAAGTGAAGCAATAATAGGCAGGTACCTCTTCCCGAGTAATGAATCAATCAACCGAATTGTATTTCAGCTAACCAAACAGGATCATAACTTAGCCGAGTAGATGATGAAGCTGCTCAGCCAACAAGGGAACCAAGCAGTGTGAAACCGACCAAGAAATAAGAACTGGAGTTTATTGGAAACACAATATTCACTAAGGATGAGACTGACAATAGGCGAATCGGAAAGGAATCCTAGATAGGTTCCCGCATAAGTTAAGGAAGATTTGGCTAAAAAATAGGTGTGTCACTTTATATAGACAATGGTAAGACCCTAGAAGAGGGTACAAACCACTATAAATTTTCCTATTTAGAACCCTTACTGACTTAACCATTGAAGTACCTTCGACCTAAATCTGACAGTTTGTTTGTTTTGCAAGAATGAGGTGCACTTTTTCTCCTTTCTCTCAAAACCATTTATTGTCTCCTCAACACCTTCAGTTCAACGTACGAGATTTTTCGTTCATATGATTGGTGTCGTTTGTGGAAAACTAACAAAATCAGTCATGTCAAACCTTCAAAGCGTTGGGATCACCACGTAACAATCAAAAGTTAAATAAGTATGACCTTGAATGCAACTATCGAGTATCCTTACCCTCAAATAGTGACATCAAGGAGGATGTTGCCAGAAATTCAAACGAGAAGTGGGTAAAACACGACAGTGTATTATACGGATGATACCATCCTCAGGATGATGCCCATCTAGATGATGTCCCCCATACCAATGAGAAAATCTTATCCTTAATGACATTGGTCCATTCCTTCCAAGACTGACCTAATGCCCACGATGCCATGCTCAAAAGGTCCTAGAAAACAAGGCACTAAGAGAGGCATTGAGGAAGTCAAGGGATCGTGAGGTCCTTGAGGAATCCAACCACCAAACAACCAAGAATAAAGGAGAATCCCTTCCGAGCTAAGCACAACCATAGCCCTGACTAGCGTTGAGGGAGGCGTAGAGAGGACGCACGTGATAGGCATCGAAGAAGGAAATCTGCTCGGGTCAATGACTATGAGGACAGCCGAAGGGATTTTCTAACTAATTAACAATTAAAAATGAANCAACCATAGCCCTGACTAGCGTTGAGGGAGGCGTAGAGAGGACGCACGTGATAGGCATCGAAGAAGGAAATCTGCTCGGGTCAATGACTATGAGGACAACTGAAGGGATTTTATAACTAATTAACAATTAAAAATGACAATTTCATATACATTAAAGAGGTTAATTACATGCATTTCATATTTTGTTGTTTGTAAAATAAATGATTTAATAAGTATACGGTATATTTGGGCACTTATTTGAATTGCAGGGCANCTAACTAATTAACAATTAAAAATGAAAATTTCATATACATTAAAGAGGTTAATTACATGCATTTCATATTTTGTTGTTTGTAAAATAAATGATTTAATAAGTATACGGTATATTTGGGCACTTATTTGAATTGCAGGGCAAAAATACAATAGGGCAAAAATACAATTTGGCAAAAATTAGGGGGCGAANTTGTTTGTAAAATAAATGATTTAATAAGTATACGGTATATTTGGGCACTTATTTGAATTGCAGGGCAAAAATACAATTTGGCAAAAATTAGGGGGCGAAAAAGCAATTGGACAGCTGGATTGGAATAAAGAAAATAAAATTTTTAGGAAGAAATAGGGGTCCGGATGCCAGCCACCACAGTCCAGATTCCCAAACAGAAGGCTACAAAAAATGGAGGTTGACAAAGACTGGCATTCGAACACCAACCACCAGTGTTTGGATGCCCCTTCCCAAATGCAATTCCAACAGTCTACAAAACCAGAGAAATCTTGGCGTCCGAATGCCTGCCACCACCATTCGGACGCCCTTGAAGAAATTGATAAATTGTGTTCACACTTAAAGCTCTGGATCATTGGCCCTTTTTGCCACCCTTTGCACTCATCCTTGTCTATAAATACCCTCTTAAATTTAGAAGAAATCCATCACTTTTGTTCAATTTTCTCTTTCATTTTACATTCAAGTCTTACAGTGTTTGAGAGATCTCTAGTTTCCACATTTCCTTAGCTTATTTCTTTATTTGGTAAGATGAACTTCACTTAGTTTTTTGGCTTCCTCAGAGCTTTGAAGGGTGAGTTGTATTTCATTTGAATTTTAGTAAAGAAATAAGTCTTGCATTTATTTATTGCAATTTCAATTATCTTCTAATTTTTACCTTCCGTAGTCGTGAATTCTCTTTACTTAAAGGGA